TTTCTTCATAGGTCTTGTTCTTCATTCTTCACTGTTGATCCATAGGCCCAAAGAGTTCCAATTTTCCAAAACCTTTGTGTTTTGTCCATGTGGTTTTTCACATACTGGAGTCAACTGGAGTCAGCAGGGGTTGGCACCTGGGAGTTCTGGTATGGAGGCCTTCATCTCTCAGTGTGCGTATTATAGTCGGAGCTGAAACCTGACTACTTCCATCTGACAAATTCTTTCGCAGTTCCTCAGCAGTCACCCGGGGATTTTTCTCCACTCTTTGCTTCAGGTACCAGACTGCAGTCAGCATCAGCATCCTCTTTCTGCCCAGGTAGCATTTCCACTGTGCCTTTAGCATTAAACTTGGGAATAATGCGTCCGACTGGGTCTCTTCAAATGTTTAATGTCTTTGCAATCTTTGTATATCCATATTCTTTCTTATGAAGAGAAATTACCTCCTCTCCTGACTTCTTTGACCATTCCCTGGACTTCACCGTGTTACAAAGATACAAGTAACTGTCTAGAAGGAGCGGAGTATCACAGTCCTTTTAAATCTGCTTGATTTTTGCCTGTTATGGTTCTGTTCACATCAAAGGCGTTTCCAATGCTTGATTGAAAGCTTTTGATTGAATCTCGGTTCTTAAGTGTGGTAATCTTTAAGGGGCTGAATAATTGTGTCAGTGAAGAAAGTTAGTTTTCATTAGTTGCATTTAGCTAATTTACAAGTCCTTGTTGGATTTCTTTAAGAACATCATAGGAAATGTCTGTGTACAGAACCTGTCAAATTCAAGTATACACGTGTGTGCGAGTGGGTGGGTGAGAGCTACAGAATGTATGCGCTCACCTCGGCAGAAAGACACTCTCCACAACATAGAAGTCTTGCATAAGCACGTCTCTGTCAGGCTTGGAGGTGAGGTTTCCCACAGTGTAGCCTATGCCCAGCTGAATGGAGCCCTTTAAGGCTGACGACGTAGTCTGTGAGGAAAAATAATAATAAGAGGGCAAAAAATTATGTCAGTGTAGCTGTTGCAAGGCTAAAACATAACTTGGCTGTTATGTGTTGTATTGTTATTATGTTGTATTCATATTAACCTGACATCAATATAAACAGTAAATGGTTCACAGACTGGTGCAGGTACTATGGTACTGTTAGGGAGAGAAAAAAAACTCCCTTAGTGAAAGTTACTGAACTTCTGCGAAATATATAATTTATGTTGAACTGTATAGTAAAAATAAACACGACTATTTGTCATGACAAAAAAATTCCAGAGGCTTGACTCGCAGTACCATAGCTCAGCATCATATGTACACAGTATGCCCATATGGATATAGAACATATGTGTGAAATAGTACAGTGCATGTGTCTCGGCTCTTGTTGGACTGTTGTTTGTTTCAGATTTCAATGTTTATCTAAGTTATGTGTCTAAAACCTGTTGGATGTTTTAAGTTTTTTAAATCTGTGTTTAAATCTCACTGCTGCATACGTGCGGCAGCATAAGTGATGTAATGTAAGTGACTTATTGCTTTGTTGCACAACTAGATCATAGGCCACGACATGATGCTTTGCAGATAATCAAATTGTCAAAAAGGGACACTCCTTACACCCAAAATCCAGGTGGCAAATGCATACACCTAAAGTTTACCTCACTTCAGGTCAAATATTTATCTAAACTGTTTCTATTTCTGTACTTTTATAAATTTATCTTGTTTAAGATTACTGCAAACTAATATTTCTGCCCTGGTTTCATCACCTGCAAGCTATATTTATTTGGAGGCATGTTGGTGCTGTTCATATTGATGCCTGTATGAGAGTACAACATCCCATATAGTATTAATTACTTATTAACAAGAATAAACCTTTTGGGTTAACGCAGGGGCATGTTGTGGTCTCTACCCAGACTATCATGTTGGCTCACTGAGTTTTAATAGCCCACAGTAGACAAAGCTTGTCTTGTCCTCCCACATACTGCGACATAAATGATGAGAGGAGGGAACTCCAAGAAATATTGCCAAGTCATGCTCACTGTACCTTTAATAACCACTGTTATAAGTAGTGTTAAAGATCTGAGACAATCAAAGGAAAGCAAAGTGTGACCTGCACTTGACTGATCTTCAGCAGTGGGCTCTAGAACAACAGGATAGAATATGCAAGCGAAGAATATTGATATGAGCTCATGTGATGCCGACATAAAAGTTGTTGGACCTAATGGCTCCTAGCAGTTGCCTTCTAATTACTATGGGAACGATTCACTTCAAGAGTAATGCACACAGTGATGTTAGTTTTACTCACCTTCTTGTATGTTTTCTCTCTGCTTGTATTCCACTGTCCTCCCATCCCATTTTCTGTTGTTGTTGACATCTGGAAATGGTTGATCAAGTTATGGTAAATATGAATATAACTAACATGGAATAAATGGCTTGAAATGATATGATTCGAGACAGAGACTTACTTTGCTTCACCAAAGGCAGTGCCTGACAAGCAAGAATCAGGGCAACATCTCTTGATTGTCAAACAGAGTTGTCACCAAGTCTGGATTTGTCAGGCGACCCCGCTATACAGGAAAAGAAAGAGTTATGAAATATTTTTAACAAAAGTAAAATATTCCAACGTTAAGGCCAAGTGCAGACAGAGAGATACCTGTCAACCAGCAAAGGTTTCTCTGTTGACTATAGTACAACACCAGTTTTTAGCATGAGGAAAATTTAATGTGCTGCCTCCTGTGAATCTCTGTCTGATAGGAGATACAACAAGGTCTATTTCTAAGCACCCACTTTTGCAAGCCACTCATGGCTGGTCTCTAAAAACAACGTTATCTTCTCCTGTTACAAGAATCCATACATATTTTGTTTTCCCATGATCCCTGCTGGTTCATTGTTTCCCCTTTCACTTCATTGAAAATAATGAAAAGCTTACATTGTCTTACAAAGTTTGTAAGACAATGGCACAATTCTCACTCATCTTCTGTGTGACCCTGGAAATTTAAGACAGCGGCAACAGAAATGTTGGATAACCTGTGACAAGACTGCAGTCACAATACCACCTGCATATAAATTCACCTGCAGCTCTCAAAACCTCAAAGCCTAGTTATGGTGCAATATTTTTTTATGGTCTGTATTGTCATTGTACCACGGGGATACAATGAAACTGGGCCTCTGCTTTTAACCCATCACCAAGAGGAGCAGTGGGCAGCTTTTTAAGCACATGGGGAGCAGTGCTCTCTCTTCCCCTCACCCGTTCCGTGACCGGAAATTACATGCCGATTAAATCAAAACAGAGAAACAAACCTACTGCGGTGTGATGACACCACATACAATAATCTAACCAGGAGTTAAAGCTGAAAGCACAAAGATGTAGTTTATGTCTCTTAGTGATTTAGCAACCAACACATAGTTCATTACAGTTAAAAATAGTACATGAATTAACACATTCTTACACACTCACTTATTCAGATATTAAGGTAATGGTGTAGACACTAAGCTCTTATCTACAGATTGGGCCTTTATCAGTGCAGGAGCTCTTCTGTTGCTACAAACAATGACAACAGCAAACACAGTTATTAATATTCTTTAAGCTACTGTGTATATATGATTTTTTACATTTCTATTCTTATTTCAAACTCAATTTCAAGTATAGTTTGGAAATTACAATACAACTTTGATCTGTAGTTTGGTATCTTTGTCAAAAAGATCAAAATAATAAAAATTCATCTTTTATTGACAAACCTTTTTCAACATCTCCAAAATCACTGTGTAAAATACTAAGACACTCATAAAGAATAATATTTTAGAATGTTTGCTTGTGTAATTCCGAGGTTAACAAAAGGAGCACAAAGAGAAGACTGTTCCTTCACAGATTATGAGTTATTTCCCTATAAACAACAGGCTATCACAGAAACATTGTCCTGTCACTATCTACACTTTAAACAATGCATTATTTATTTTACCTCATTTACTTATTGGCATTTTTATCTATTTTAGCTAATCATGGTGATTTACTTTAATCTGTTTTAGGCAAATCTTTAGCTACTCTAGCTAGCTATAGCTGTTAGCCATTCACTTTCAAACTTTTAAGAGATTAAAGTTATTTCTTTCAGTCACAACTTGTCTAATATATTAACTTGCATGGAGATGTCCATAATAAAACAGACATACAGTACAACGGACACAAACACAGCAGTTTAAACATTGTACCTCTTTAGGAGTGGTACGGTGACAGCATACCCTCCACTACAAAGACCTAAAGGTTGTGTGTGTGCTACAAAAGCCTTGTGGGACATTTTCCAGTTAGCTGTTTGAAAACTACATACAGTGGGTACGGAAAGTATTCAGACCCCTTTAAATTTGTCACTCTTTGTTTCATTGCAGTCATTTGCTAAAATAAAAAAAGTTCATTTTATTTCTCATTAATGTACACTCAGCACCCCATCTTGACAGAAAAAACAGAAATGTAGAAATCTTAGCAAATTTATTAAAAAGGAAAACTGAAATATCACATGGTTATAAGTATTCAGACCCTTTGCTGTGACACTCATATTTAACTCACATGCTGTCCATTTCTTCTGATCCTCCTTGAGATGGTTCTACTCCCTCATTGGAGTCCAGCTGTGTTTAATTAAACTGACTGGACTTCATTAAGAAAGCCAGATATCTATATCTATATGTCTATATAAGACCTTACAGCTCACTGTGCATGTCAGAGCAAATGAGGTCAGTGGAACTTCCTGAAGAGCTGAGAGACAGAATTGTGGCAAGACACAGATCTGGCCAAGGTTACAAAAAAATATCTGCTGCACTTAAGGTTCCTAAGAGCACAGTGGCCTCCATAATCCTTAAATGGAAGA